TTCACAGGAAGGAGTGTCAATTTTCTGCCACGTGTCAAAAAAATTTGACATGTCATCTACATGTTTAACAGGTTTCACCGAGAGTTCTTGTTACCCTACTTAGCGATGTAAGTTCAATCTGTTTTTTTAGTCAATTTTGACCTCATTCCGATCAAACAGTTTCAAAGTGAACATTGTCATAATAATAATGACATACTGTCATCGATGAACAGATAGACTCGCTCAAGATAGAGAAGTGCGCTAGGATTCCGTCATTTGAAAGGCGAAATAAGCAGCAGCAAGGTGCTTCAAGTTATCATTTATAGTCTTTTCGGCTAAATTCGCACGGCGACAAGGGTTGAAGGGAAGTACATTTTTGAATCACTGCTGAAAGCAAGCAAGATGTTTTAGAATGATTGTTTTGCACTTATGTAAAACAGTTAAGTAGCTTCAAGATGATCACAACTTCTCTTTTATCTCACCGGAAACAATTTCGAAAAAACATGTCAAAAGGGACCAAAACAATTTTTTCGTGGCACGTGGCAAGAAGGCAGTCCTCGAAGATCCTATAGAAAATTATTTTTAGGCTGAAGAACATCATGACTTATAATAACGGACTAAGGGTTGTTTACGTGTTTTTGTGTGTTGTGTGTCTGTCTGTCTGTCTGTCCGTACGAAATTCGTAGAGCGAGTTCCAGCCAACCTCTTGAGCCCAAATTTTACACGGCGCGTGCTAGCAGCATGAGAGTCTGCTGCGCCAAAGTACAAGCGAATCCGTTGAGTGGATCCCTCAAAATTCCGCTTCAAACGGATCCACTTGGCTTCTAGCCAGCAAAATTGGGCCTGTACCACCACTTTTTCCAATGTCATGGAAATGATTAACAAGCCTAGGTGCACGCCATGGACTTCAGCCATGGCGCCATGGACTGGTCTGAAAAATTGAACTGAAGTTGATTACTTTACGAAAATGGCGCCGGAAAGAAGTTATTGCGTAAATGTTCAATTTGCCAAGACTTTACCTATTTGGGAAGTTTTTTGCACAAAGAGATGTAGTCCACGGTGATCATCGTCGTTATGGCGAGTATCAAACCATAAAAAGTCCAAAAACCGGTTCAAATTTGCATTTATTCTTTTCGGAAAAGTTTCATCCATGCGAAATTACCGATCTCACATGAAAAAGCCTTAGAAATGAGCAGTTGTTTACAAATCATTCGTGAGAGTCTGCATAGTGCGGTGAGTTTCAATGTCATTAATATGCGGGAACGAGTAAGGCAAACAGAAAGTAGGGCCAGTGCGAGCCTCTGCGAAGCAGAGGTGACGCACTGGTATATTATGAGAGCTTTTCCAAGAAATGGGTCCGGATAACGGAAAAGTACCGAAATTACTTTCTGAAGGGTAAGGAAATAAAAGATCGCTGCACATAATTACTCTCAAAACTAAATCTGACGTTCTTTGTTTATGTTGAAAAGTTATAGAACGTAATTTGTTTGATCGAAAACGACTGAAAAAAATTTGCATACCTGTTTTACTGCTACAGGGAGAGTAGACTTAGGCCCTACATTTGTTCATAGGGTAAAAGACTATGCATTCGAATGGCATCATAAGCCTCTTTCCAGTTTTCCACAATCGATGCACTTTTTGCACGACCTTTGCATGCCCGTGCGCGGCATGAAGAGGTGACGCGAGAATTTTCTAGAATACAGGAGATTTGAGTGAGAGCTATAGGCTCTAATAGAACGACATTTCTTGATTTTACGTGCAAAAAAGCTAATTCTGGCGATTGCTTTGACACTTGCAGCAGTGGCGTACCCCAGGATTTCCGTTCGGGGGGGGGGGGGGGGAGCGACAAAAACTTTTTTCTGATGAAGGTGCGTGGCGTTGCCACGCTCCTGAAAATTTTTTTTTCATAAAGTTAAATTGAATTTTTAAAAAATTTAAAATATTATTTCCACTACTTACTTAATTTTTATTTTAATAGAATCTTGTTTTCGTTTATAAGTCACTTGCAAATTTTACTCATGTAAGTAACCTTCGAAAACTTCGCGACCCATTCTCGGGGGGGGGATGCCCCCCCCACCCTTTCGATACGCCACTGACTTGCAGTAATAGAGCATGAAAACACAGACGCGAATTTATTTTTAATTTTTGAGAAAGATAAGCGTTTGCTTAAATAATCAGAAAATCTGGCTCGGACTGAAAAATTCACCAAATTCTATCTCCTTTCTTCATCCCATTCCCCAGCAAACATATAAATCCTAGAATTTGAAAAAAGTGGTAGTAACTTTGAATTCTTTTCTTCAGTAAGGGCATTTGCCCGATAAAGACCAGTTCTGCAAACTGCATGTACAGCAAAGGAAACTTTGACTTTGGATAGCGAAGAAGCGTAATGGAATAAGAACAACTACGCTCACGAAATGAAATGAAGAAAAAGCTGTTGTCTAAAAAGTTGTACTTTCAAAGTACAAACCGTTCTAGATTGGAAGACAAGAGCTTAATGGAAGAAAGTTAAAAAACTAACGGGAAATTTTTCGAATAGTTGATGCGAACTGAACCACTGTAATCCTATTTTTTCAAGAAAATCATTCACTTCTGTTAGACTGTCCCTGCAGAACGCCACATGTGCTTTCGATTAATAGCAAGGGAAACAGCAGGGGAATGTTTAGGCATTCATTTCAGTTCTCATCTATAGAATTATGGAATGGAAATGGCGTCTCTCTTCTATAACCATGCTAAATTCTTGGACAGGGCCTGGGAACAGTGTTCACGAATTGATAAATAAACTCTGAGAACGAAGCAGAAAGAAAAATTAAGCAGGGAAAACCAAGTGGTGGAAGGTGAGGCATTGATAGTGGTAGAAATGAAATATACACTGACTGGTCTATGCTGGAGTAGCTCGTACCTCCTAATAAAAAACAAGAAGCTAACACAAGAAAGCTAGTGTGAAAATGGTAGAGTATACTTGGATAATTTTGACCCATTGACGACGATGTGAACCACCGGTGGCCCACGCCCCTTCTGGTGCCAGGAACAATATGGACCACCGGTGGCCCACGCATTTTTGATGCCAGGGACGATGTGGACCACCGATAACCCCTTGCAAACTCATATTATAAGTCTAGTATCTTTTCCACATATTAATATTTTCTCCAATTTTTTGCACTCTAACCTGTAGGTTCGTCGTTTAGGGAAATCCTTAAATTGTCTACAGAATAACTCTGAATTTCGTAATAACCACAAACCGAAAATATTGTGCAAAATCGCATCGTCCCACAGCTCCGCAACGCAGAATTAGGCGTCGTCGTCAATGGGATAAAAATGAAATTTGCGACGAGAAGAGCGAGATTATAGTAATTGAAAAGAGCTTTTGAAGGGAGCACGTAGGACCTTAATAAATCAAAATGAATGTGGCTATCAACTACATAAAAAACTATGCGGTGAAGTGTTCGTGATAAGTCTGCTGAATTAGCCCGCGAGAAATACGGTAGCTAAGGTTGCGTCCAGAGTCTGTGTACTGTCGTACCAGTGCCGCGTTAGCGCTGTGCCGAACGCAAGTAGATGCGACGCATCTCGATCGACCACGCTCCGCCAATACAATCCGGTACGGCGCTAGCACCACAATTCCGGACCACCCTAAGAGACAAGGTATGCGAGGGTTGATCAATTCATTTTATCCTTTGGGTCTATTACAGAACAGAAATCATCTACATACATGATAAAAATTTCCTTTACATTTCTCACACTAGAAAGGGATGTCCAATCAATAGTCAGCTTTGAAAAAAGTTAGAACTAGTAAAGGTTTGCTAGCGTTTTATGAATGTAATATGTGCAATTCTGATAGACACATGTGGTTCTTGTACCCACATGTGGACTAATGGAATGGCAAATATATTTTAGCCTCTGAGGAAATTACCGGAGCTGGTAGTGCGAGCACCGGCACTAGTATAGAGGCATAGCATTTACAAGATGCGCACTGGGAAAAAAGACAAATGGCCATTAGAAGTGGTATTTTCTCCTAGATCCAACATGTTGTGATATATGCAAAGAAATATCTTCAGGAGGGGTCCTATGGATATCTCTTTTATTTTTATTACAGTGAAAATTCTGAACATTTCTTGATGAAAACTGTGAATGTGAAAAGTCTTAGCACAATAGGTTTGTAATTTTTTTCTTTTCCCGAATATCGTTTTCTGAGCACCCAAAGTCTTTTCAGTTAGCCCCGATTCTCGATAGGCATTCTCGTGGGGGGGGGGGGGGGCTGCTTGCTGCTATACAATTGAATCCTACCATATCCTCATGGCTCAGTATGAAGGATATGTTCTCTAGACTCTCTAGAGTTCTTCCATCTGCTTCCCTGAGCCTATACAAAATCACCTCTCAGCATGCTGATAATCCAAAATTAAATTTTCGCTGGTGATGTTTGAGCATCTTTCCCGCATGTGGACTAATCAATATTTCTTTTTTGCCTCCGGGGAACAAGACTAAGAATTATAAAGACTTATTCGCATGCTAGAGGCATAAATGCTATTGTTAAGGTCTAGGATAATTCCGAGAATTGCCGCTCTGTTCCAAAACTGTGCCGAAAATGTGCTAACCGAGGTTTATTGATCAATACATAGTTGGCCCTTCCACGCGAAATCGGCACAGCGCTAGCACGACGGTGGAACGGCGCTAGCAGGTGCATCTCTGGACAGTTTCAAAAGAGAAAATTGTGCACTCTAAGATCAATAAAAATGTAAAACAATAAGATAGGAAGCTAGTAATTCAATTTTTTGACTTTTTCAAATTTCCTGAATACACTGCATTTGATTGGTGAAAAGGGCAATAGTCTGCTCGAAGAGATAGAGTAGAGTGTTCATTGCAGCGGATTCCAATGCACCATCGGTCAGTTATGCATTCAAATGAAATCGAGGCATTTTTAGACAATCCACGATGTTTTGCACGACCTTTACGTGCTCAATGCAGCAGAAGCAATGACGCGAGAGATGAATCATTTCCTTAGAAATGAATGGATTTATGGCGACAGAAAATACAATAATCAAGGTGAGCCTTATTTTAGGTGATTGCACTGTCTTTGTGGTATAAAGGTGACCAAAACCAGCAAACTGCTCATCTTGGCAATCAAAAGGTACCATTTAGTGGAATGTGATAAGTATTCTGCTGAACTATCACAGATAAGATGGGAAGAGCAGAAAAGGCAGCGTTCAGAGTTGCTCAAATGTCGCAGCTGTGCCGTTGCCGTTCCAGCGGCGGGCCAGAGTCCTGGCGTCGTGTTGGAACCTACCACGCGCTAGCATGGCGCTGAAACGTGCAATTTGGGACGCAGCTTGGTACAGGGAACGTACCGTCTTGTGATTAGAAGTTGGAGTAGAGTAGCAGAAAGACGAATGTTTCAAGGGGTGGCTTTTGTGGCCCCGCAATTGATCACGTTTTTGAACGACGCGCCGCGCCAGAAAGCCTAATAAGGCAAGCCAATTTTCTTCATCTGTTTTGTACATCAATTTGCTTATGAGAAACTGGTTCGAAATATTTCTTATACGTGCAAAAATGAATTTATTTCATTTTCATGCGAAATAGCGGAGAAATTGTTTACTACGTGTACAGCACAGACTAAGCCATTCTTTATATAGACTTTTATAATAGAAACATGGAAACTGAACTAATTGAAAACAAAAAATACCTCTTACTTCGGTGCTGTAGAAGTATTGACGTGGTGCCCTCTACCGATGCACTGCCTCCACAAAAAAGGTCGTTTGACTTGAACGAGGGCCGTTCGATGAAAAGTCTGCGTACTGCGGTGTAGTGAGTCATTCTCCTAGAAAAGCGATAATTTATTTCAAATAACTTGCTTTTGGATAAAAACATTATGAAAATCTGGAACGATAGCAAAAAATGTTCATTATTTTTTGATTGGTAAACATTACATGAATATGTACCGTAATTTTGACATTTCCGTAAGCGGGTTATGAAGTAAGGTTGAAAAATCATAAATCGAGCTTCACCTTTGATAAAAAGGATACAGAACTCTCGCAGAAACACTTTGGCATCGAATAGCTAGTACGCCAATAGCTATGCAATACCATATGTAGCTTATTGGAAACTGTTGCTGGAAATTGTTATAAAGTTTTACAGGCAAATCGCTCCAGAAACTTGGGAAAGTGTGGAATGCATCACAATACAAACAATCCGAAAAGGAAGAAATCTGGAACTGCATCAAGGTGAGCGTTTCATTCTCAACAAATGAGTTGCATTGGTCACGCATGGAGGGATCAGGTTGCCTGTTTTTGCCTCATTGAGTTTCCACAAAAAATAGAAAAATATTGATTTTTAAGTATAAGCATGATACTCAGATGTTACTTTATAGTGTTAATTTCCATTGACTTACTTCGTTTCTGCATAAATTGCATTAGATGAAATAGTGGAATTTTTGATATTTTCGATACCATGGGATCGAAGCCGTCATACATCTTCGCTATATGCCTTAAGTGTAGTCAATAGGCAGGTCCAGAATCGCGAGTGCCGGCGCCTTGCCAATCAATCAATGCCCAGTGCGTCCACGTAGGATCCAGCACGGCACTGGCATGGACCACTTTAGACCCGATTTATGAAAGAACAAAGCATGAACATCGCTTTCCTGCAATAGATGTAAAATTCATAGCACATGTTGCAAAGTCAATAAAGGTTAGCGAATGTGCAAGTTTCTTTCTGTGTCCTGTCAGACAACGGATCCATCCGGGGCCGATACCGGCCGAGGTCTCCCCAGCGGCGCTACAGAACTCGTTCACCGGAACCCACCGAACATTGTTCACCGAAAGTCCCCGAAAAAAGCGTGCCACGGAAATGCCAGAGATAGGCACTTTACCCCGAAAATCTTTTGCGATTGCCTGAGCTATTACCTTCTTTCTCAGATATCTGAGTTTCACATAATTTATTAAAAATGTTGATTTCTAATTGGCTCACACCGATCCGCTTACCTTTTCTTATTTTAAATAAGAACAGTAAAACTGGAAGTGTTAAAGCCGCATTGTCCATTGACTAGTTGTGTATGCAATTGAATGTGAATCACGAGCGTCTTTCCCAGTTTTCCGTTATCGATGCACTTTTTTGCTTGACCTTTGCATGCCTATGTCGCGGCATGACGTGAAGCACAAACATTTTTAGCATTTTAAGAGATTTAAATGGAAGATATGAGTGCTATGTGAAGCAGCGTTTCAAGAAGGACTTGAAAAACTGTAATTTCTATACAAGGCATCGGAACTATGTATCAGCTGAACAATTGATTCTCATAAGGGATTTGCGCGGTAGGTACCCTTTGATTCAACTGGCTTGGCGGTTAGAAGGCGGAGCTTCGTGACCAAATTAAGGCTAGAGTAATGATCAGAGAGCACGCGCGCGGGAGAGACGCAGACTGCGTCGTGGGAGCGAGCGGCCTTAATTAGGTCACAAAGTCCCGCCTTCCAGCCGCCAAGCCAGTTAAATCAAAGGTTGAATGAGGACGCACTTGGAGAAAAATGGATGACACATTTGATTCCGCGTTAATAAAACATTAAATATCAATGACCAAACAACATAGGTTCTAGACTGGAATAATTTTTCTACACGATTTCCTTTTCACCTTGAGTATAGTCAAAAGGCCACAAAAAGAATTAATATGTAAGTTTGTTCTAGCCTCTCCCCATCACTTTTTCAATCTCCAAATACGAGCGAACTCTTTGGCGCGGAAAAGACCAGTTTTGTAAAGTGCATCTCCATCGAAGGAGGAATTCGGTTATTGATAGAAGGGATGGAGCGATATGGTAAAAGAGAGTGACGAATGATTTGCAAGATGACAAAAAGAAGAACTTCGTAGTTTTACTCGACGACAAAAAAGTGTCATTCTAGAAATTTGATGGAAACGGATTCTACAGGATCGGCAATGAAAGCTGGGAGCGCTGATATATGGGGACGAATTTGTCCCATCCGAATATTCGTGAGCACATCATACTGGAAGCCTAGCATTGAAAAGTGAACGATGTGCCCAACGACGAATTCTACACAAGCTCTTGAGAACACCTGGACTAAAAATGTATGCTGTTTGAAAAGGAAATAGAAATAATTTCTTTCATGTATGAGAAAATGGAAACGGAAATAAGGCACGAAAGTTCTCCCTGACAAAATCAGGAAATCCTTCGACGAGATATACCGCGATTGCTATTTGCTCCAATTAATCCCATAGCAAGAGCGTTTCTCGAATGGAAAATTTGTGATAACGAGCAGATAAGAAACACATATTCTGCTCAAAGTATGCGTCATCAAGCAAATATAAAAATGCAATTTTTTATGGCATTAAGACTCCTTCTCAGACAACTGACCGGAACTTCAGCAGAGTGTTTGGAAAAGTTCAGCCGGGTTACCTGCGGAAGTTCCGTAAACGTGCTGCAGAAGTTCCGAAGAATGCGAACCTCAAGAACAAAAGAGGAATCTAAGCGAAAATGGACCTTCCCTTATCGGAGACTCATTCATGCTCCTCTGCACTACGGATGACGTGATCGATAATGAACTTCAGTTATTGGCGAAACAACATCGTAAGGGACAACTCAAAAACATGCGGAAGTATTGGGCAGGTCAAAGTTTATGCCAGTACTTCCGCAGGTCAAAGTGCTGCGGAACACATTCCGCAGTGTTTTCAAAAAGTCCTACGGAAGTTCCCTTTTTCAATGTTTCCAGCTTTGCAATAGTAAGCAAAATCCTGCGGAACCGCCGCAAATTTGCTTGTCTTGCGGAAGTTCCGTATGAGTTGTTATCTCCGTCACGAAAACGTCCACTTGCTGGTATCGGTCATGTGTTACAGCGGAAGAACAGTTAAACGTTCGCTTCAGTAAATTGAGTGAGCAAGAGGAGATTGGAATTGGCTTTTCAGTTGCAGGACTGTACATAGTAGCGGCGAAATAGCAGAATGAGTTTGTTGTACAAGCGTTCTGAGATTTGGAACGATGAAGAACCTTCGAAATACTTTGCACAATTACTTGCAGAAGAAAATGATATTTTGTTCTATAATAACTGTGTCAAACCCTACGTGCAAGGTGGAATCGGCTTATTTACGGAGCAGACGACGTCACACACTAATGTAATGCAAATCCATCTCAAAACAAGTAGGGTGCACTTTTGGCATCATTGCACGCTGAAACCGTATGTGCAGTGACTCATGTGAGCTCGTCAATGTTTCTCAGCTGCAGTAAGAGAAGAAGCGCGATGATAATTCACTTTCAAAGATATGTAGAGGAACTATTGAAGATGGTGACCATACCTTAATTTCACGCATACAAGGCACACCTTTTTCGATTTTTCAAGCCGCTCAGCCGCTTCACTGTATTTCGGGAAGCGATCTTTATGCCGCACGATTTTCTCAAGGCACAGTCCACCCTAACAAGGGAAGGAAGGTTGGTCAAAGTGGCCTGTTGGAATGATGTGTATACCGCCTTGTAGAGCTTGGAACGCTGATTCCAAATCTACCTTTGCTATCTGCTGCGGGCTTCTGAGCGAGGAGTTATGAAGGTTTTTGTGAGTAAAAATCTGTATGCAAAAGTAGGGTAAAATCAGTCGTAACCTTTTCCCAATGTTCAAATGAGGCAGCAGCCAATTGGCTTACTTGAATCAAGAATATTTGTTGCACCGAGTGATACGACTACCAGTTAAGCCCTATAAAAATTTTACGACTGATTTTAGCCTACTCTTGCATTCAGATTTTTACTCACAAAAACCTTCATAACTCCTCCCGCAGAAGCCCGCAGCAGATAGCAAAGGTAGATTTGGAGTAAGCGTTCCACGCTCTACAAAGCAGTGTACATCACAATTCAAAAGGCCACTTCGACCAACCTTCCTTTCCTTGTAAGTCAGGGATCTTGAGCTTTTGGCAGCCTACGGTAATAGGACTCACTACCAAGCCAATGCCCAGGTCGTGGTGCAAAGTGTCGCTTTAATTGCGAGAAAAACCCTTTAGCGAAGATGCATGAGGATCCCTCGGCACCGCCCCCCTCCAGTAATGCGCGCCCATCTGCGCATGCCCATCCAATCATCGTTCCCGACCATCCTGCGTGTTCTCCGGAAAGAGGTTTGTCAGGATTCTTGACTTCCTAATCAGGGCCATGAGAATGCCCCGGAATAATTGAAACATGGAAGTCGAGAATCTGGGGTGGACGGTGTAGGCAATGTACAGCACGGTATAGGGTCCTTTGGTTTGGAAGTCCTTTGGCATGTTTGGGCTGGTCAATTTTGGAAAAAATCCTCCCCCCCCCCCGCCTTGTACGAGTGAAATTAGGATAAATGGAGTGCTGTTTGGAGGAGTGAGAGCGAAGGGAAGCAAATTTGGGTGAGGAGGGGGACAGTAGCGTTTGCGGTAGCCGGATGGATTAAAGGCGATGGTGATGTATGTAATACGTCTTGTACAGTTTATATCTATGAAAATACAAAGGTAGTCAAGCAATTATGCCTTTTAGGAGAAGCAAATCTTCATATTTCAAACTGCTTTTCGCTCACGTATTTTCGGAGCAAATTTGAAGGTCTTTGGCAATAAACACTCAGCAGAAGTAGTCGAGTCACCGTCGCAGGACCGGTTGCATTACCGGCTTCGTGGTGTAGAGGTTGTGCCATTCGAGAGTAACCACCCTGAGGAGTACGATTCCTGGATGGGAAGCTGTCGAATGACTGCTTTATCCCCTGTGGCGAAGAACTTCGCAAAGTACCGCGAAGCCCTCACACAGGGGAAAGCCTAAGCTAAGCCAAATGGTAAACCTTCGGCAGCCCTGGCTTACGTCTGCTCTTCGTATTTCTCGCAAGTTGGATTTCATGATCAAACACAGCAAAAAAACTTGTGCCGAAACAGCGCAGGGCGAACGTTTCTAAAAACTTTGTGGGAGAGTGTCATCACTTGATTTTGTCGCTGATAGTTTTGCTTATTTTTTCCGCGAGAAATATTTATAGGTGTCTCCTTCTTATTTAAAAATAAAAGAATCTGCCAACCTTTGCAACATGTGCAGAAGACAGCGACAGAACCTATGGTTCAGCTCTAACCGACTCTTGTTATAATCATACATTTTATCTCCTTCATATTAATTTGCAATAAGTTCAGAGTAATCTTTCTGTTTGATGCTGTGAATGAACTCGAAGTTTTTAAAGTTGCCTAAAAATAATGTTGAGTTTGCAGAATGATGCGTTTTATAGTTTCCCCAAGACCTCGAAAACACCGATGCCAAGCCCGAGCAGCGCCGTGCTAGCGTCGTCGATCGACTCGATCAATTTTGCGCTTCCACGTGGCTCTGGCACGGCACCGGTAGAATAGCAGATGTGGCTCTGATGTAGCCTGAAGCGGTAATAGTTCTTCATCATTACGTCCCAAACAAGCCTGTAACTACCCGATAACTTTTGCGATTCTCATATCTAGTGTGCTTTCCGCGCGACGTGAAATTCATTTACTTAGTGAAGACTGGAGGTAAGTTACAGAAATTTTTTTTCTTCAAAAGAAAAAAACGCAATGAAACTTGCAATATACACTACATTGCCATGAACTTATGCTATCAACTTTGAAAACTGTTTTCAGCCTTCATGGAGTGCGGTATCCAGCAGAAATACCCCTTTGCTAGCTTGTAAGCTGAGTCCAGAGTTGCCTAATCCAGCTCTGAGCTAAGCCGTGCCAGCACCATCGACCGATCGATGCTGACGTATCCATTGGACGCTGGCACAGCGCTGACACGGGTAGCTTTGGACATAGTAGTTTAGATCTCTTATCAATCTGTAAAATTTAATGTAGTTATGTACTTTTTGCACTACTTTAACTCAATTATATTCTCACTATCGTAATTTAACATACTGGTCAACATATCTATGTCTACCATAAATATGCGTGGATCCTACTTTCAATGCTGTCAATGTCAATATTTAATCTTAGACAATATGTTATTCGAACTATATCAACCTTGACTTCACATCTAGCTAATGAGCTCCGCCTTGCGTTTCTGAACATTTACTTGATTTCTGTAGCTATATGACACAATTTCATCATTCAAAAGGATCTTCTTGGCAACTAGCATCTCCAATTCCGTATCGTCAAACTTGTCATTCAGTCACTGCGATGTAGATTTTTGTCCTGCAATATCCTTGATCTTTGTTGCTCGCCATAGGGCACGACTGAAAGTCCAAATTCAATCGATACAGAGTTGACATTAGGGTTAAAACATACCTGTTTCTGTCGATTGTTGGAGAGCAATTGAATGTTCTTTAGGGTGCGTTCAGAGCCAACGGGCCCGTGTCGTGCCAGCGTCTACTGGCACCGTCCCGCAATGATCGATCGACGGTGCTGGCACGACGCTAACTCGGCGTTGACATGGACAGTTTTGAATGCAGAAATAATTTTGGGTTTGGCCAATAGCCGATAGCTTGGTAATGCGGAATGAAGAGCTGAAAGAGCTGAAATCTCAATGGAAAGAACATGTTGTAGACAAAATGATCTTTTCAACAAATTTTTCAGCTCTCAAAAAGGATTGGTTACAGCAGTTTGAAATTTTTTCTACCCTTCGCACGTGCTCGAGAACTTTCTTCACAGTATAGAACTGTACCATTCGCTGTGCCCACCCTTCGATATAGGAAATCTTGAGTGGAAAACTCGAATGAATGTTTTACCTCCTTGTGTTGGACACTATGAACTGAGTCATCATAGCTCTACTGGGGGTAAGGAGGTGTGGTGTATAAAAACCATGGGGTAAAACAGTGTAGGGCTATGCTTGTTAGTAATGGAAAATCAAAATATTATTTTTCAAAATTTTCTCCCCCTCGCTCTCTTCTCTCCTATTCCAACTTGTAATCTCCTCACCTAAATCCTACATGACGACTTGACCACACTTTATTTGGAGAAAAGAAAAACGACTAAGATATGGAACTTTTTGAGTCCGTCCTATGCTTGGTCCTAAGTTCTGACTATTGGACTTAAATGAGTTTTTAGGGTTTCTAGATCATCATAGAAATCACGAGGATAATTATCTGACCTTTTGAAAGATTCTGAAATTCGGCCAGCTTACCTTAAATGAGACAGCTGAAAAGCGAGTTCTGTGGGCCGCACTCAACAGGCAGTTGGGAACGCATTTGAATGACGATTATAAGTGCATTTCCAGTTTTCGACAATCAATGCACTTTTTGCTCGACCTTTACGTATCCTTGCGCAGCATGATGAATTCTAGCGAGAAATTTCTGGGATTCGACAGTTTTCTGGGGAGAAATATATGAGTATTACCCTTTGCAAAGTGCATCCAACAATCTAATGCGCCAAATTTTTGATGATGTACATGGAGATCTTCTGTGAAAAACCGCATTTTTAGGGAATCTTAGAATTGCTACGGACTGGAGTTTTTTTAATAGTACAGTTGAAATAGTGATGCCCTGATGATCCTCATCAAGAAACCATCAATCACATCAGATCGCATTCCAGGTAAAAGCTCATAGTTTCGCTTCTATCAGCTATTTTAAATCCCTTTTTCAAATCTGGCCCGCTGCTCAACCACTCTTCGGTCACTTTGCTTCAGTTTCTCTAAAATATTTAAGATAGCTCGAAAGATTTTTTTTATTCTCCACACCTTTGGGCAGGAAATAGATGATAGAAGGCTATATTTATAGTATTAGGTTGGCACATAAGTACCCTAATTTCATGCGTATAAGGCGCGGGGGATTTTTTTCCAAAATCGACCAGCCCAGACAAGCCAAAGGACCATACAACCAAAGGACCCTATAACGTGCTGTATATTGGTTGAGAAAATTGTGCGATGTAAGGATTTCTTTTCAGAATACAGTGAAGCGGTTGAGCGGCTCGCTTGAAGATTTGAAAAAGTGCGCCTCATACGCGTGAAATTAGGGTAATGTAATTTTTCATATAACTTTTGTCTTTTTGGATGTAGCGCGTTCATCTTCTGGCAATCTGAGAATTATGATGTTAACTGCAAATGCGGACATTTTTACCGAAATTTACCATCTTATGTAAGGGTTACGGTAGGTTTACGATACAATGGGAAAATTTTTAGATTGCGTCAGATTTTGCCGAAGCTTGGCCTATGGGGGTTATTCGACATGTTGATAACAAAAATGAGATCGGTTTTGCATGAAGAGGTCCTCTTTCATAAGGTCAAGAAATGAATTTCGTCTTAGCAACGAATGAGTTTTTCGTGTTCACCGTAGTGGATTACTCTATTCTGCAAAAATTTAGCAAATTCTGAGGTTTCGCAGCTTAATCATTGACGGATTACCCTCGAAACTTGACGCATGTCTCGTTCTACTTCTCAAAGGCGCCTTATCTTAATTTTTCCCTAAATTTCACCTTCTCACCTCTTTTTTATTGATTCTAAAGTGTCAACTTCTAGCTACATGCTGCCTATAATTTTTGATTGTCTAATTCAGGTTCTGAACGGCTTCATGTTTGCCAAAAAAATCTGAGAGCTCGATTTTCAGCAGTTTTCGAAATATGTTCAAATTTTTCCCACTACGTCACCAAAATTAAAGGGTTTGCGCAGGCTTGCAGCTACATGATGCCAGAGAATGAGAGTGCTATATTACATAAGAAAAAAAGTTGCAAAGCTTATGTGTCAACCTAATATCTTGTATCGTGCGTCCTTTGAACAAAAAAAAAAAGGCTACTGTATCAATCTTGGTTCAGACTGTAGAGGTCAACTCTAGGAGTCTTGTATTGGGATTGACGTTGCTTTGAGCCTCCATAACAAGAACACGTCCATTGAGGAATCCGTGTCTTTAGGGGAGAGGCTAGCAGGAGCCAATAGCTTTATGGTAGTAGTCTCTATAACAATACAAAAACCATAACAACGGATATATGGGGGAGGAGGGGACATGAACACTTTAGGGTTACAGCACCTTTCGCAGTTGCTCTGTCACCTTCTGCACAGTGGTTGCGATAGTAAACCGCTCACAAACGGAAGCTACGGATTACCAAACTCAGCTTTCCTCACTCGGGAGCCCATGCTGAAATCAGTTTCTTGAAAATCGAGGCTTGCAAAAAACTGGAAGTTCAGTTGTACTTCTGAGAGCTTGTAGTATACAATTACATGGGTAAAAACAACACGCGCTTCGTTTTTACACAAGCGTGAAAATTTCCGTTTTCTCGATCTCTAAATCAACAAAAAATACGGGAACTGTCCATATAAGTGTCTGATGTGTAATCTTTGTAAGGAAGTTGGACCGTAGGATTTTTTGAACGAAGATATGAATTTTTCTTTTTTTTTTGTAACTTCAGTACGGCGCATATTCTGTATGCCAACTACGATGGGTCGAAGCTGGTGGTAATTTCTGCACATCATATTGCAAAGCTTGCTTTGATCTTTCGAATGGTGCTCTGGAATCATATTAAGAATACGAAGTATACGACTTATTGCCATAAGAAGTTAAAGTGTACAGACTTATGTTGCAACCCAAGGCTAGGCACAGGTGGCTTGTAAGCAAGCTGGATATCGTTTTTGGGACAAAAAGCAAAGGGAGTTTCGTTTTTGAGACCGAAAAGGTACGAAAATTGCATCGTTTTTTTCAGTCGACGTTTCGTTTTTTGGAGATCTTTTAGGGAATATGGTCTAGGATCAAAGGGAACTTCGTAAAAATTTGCAAAAGTCAAGGGGGACTTCGTTTCTTGCATTTTCAACTAGCCACCTCTGAGCCCTGTTTCAACCTAATATCTTTTCATACAAAAAATTAATAGTCAATGGTAGTGATGTACTCAGGACTTATAAAAACTTGTTGTCTGTTAAAATGTTAAAACTGGACTTTGCTTCTTGAATACTTTTCGTACACGCTCTGGAGAACAAGTATGCTTTAGATGCAGATGACCTACAAGATTACATACCAAGAACTTTTACTAATTGATTATTTTTAACTAGAGAAAATCAATAAAAGCAAACGATCGAATGCCTTCTGCTGGAACACCGCAAATCTAGTGATGCTGAGTTTTTTGGAGACTATTTCAATGCATATCAGTGGTGACACTGAACTGATGATTCACTGCGATATAAAAACACGTAGCAAGGAAAGCGCCTCAAATGGTTAGACTTTCCTCAATTTTATATGTGGTGACGTCAAAAATTGAATTTTATTTAAGCATCTTTTGTTCGAACAAAAAATCTATTCGATGAAAAATGTGCTCTTGAGTAACAGAAATATTCACGGAAATTCTGTAGAGCATTACAAGAAGTGTTTATTCACATATTTAACTACCGCCTAAAATTTTTATCATGATTAATGTGATTTCTATCGTAATCGTAAGACGAATATCACACTCGCAAGCTTTGTCGAAAATTTTCCCTTATCCGTTATGGAAAAACTTCGTAGGTGTCAACCTTTTTTACACATTTATAGTGAAATTGAGAAAGGACGAGGAATTCAAGCTCATTTGCAGATGGAAATTGAGGGATATGATAAATTGAAAATTATCATTTTTACTATAGTAGGAGTTCTATATAGTAGCTAAGTTTGTCATTGTATTTTGCGCTATTAGATTTATGGGTGTGTTTTTTCTTTGGGAAAGAGATAGGTAATTATTACAAAAAGTTCGAGTTTGGACGAAATAAAGAAAAGAAAGATGTAAAAGAAAGAGTAAGCAGTAAGTTTCAAGTGGAACTTTTTCAAAGCAGTTTAGCCAAACTTCCGATCACTCCATTGCCAGAAAAAATTCTCTGTACCATTCATCGGGGCTCACCCTTCGATACACTTTCCTTTCTTAAAGTAACTTCAAATGACCGTTTTACTTCGTGGTCAGGCAATATGTCCTAGTTCTTCATAGTTCCTCTGACATGGGGAAGTGTGGAGTATGGACAGTCTGCTGCATTACAGCTGATTAGGGAACTTTTCTTGCGAAGGATGGAGAAAGTAAAAATGCAAATCCATTTGTATCTCTCTTCGTGTCCCTTCCTCCCCTCTTATCTCACACCTTACATCCAATGCATATGCGGTACTATAGTCCATGTAGAGAAGAGGGAAGGAGGTTAAAAGCATCATCCACCCAGGTTCTCGACTTTCATGTTTTTCTCGTTCTGGGGCCTTCTTATGTCCCTGATTTCGATTATGAAGTCGAAAATCCGCGAAAACCAAGACAATTCTCATTCCGGAGAACTTGCGGGGATGATCGTGATGAACGGCGATTGGTTGAGCAACACCGATGGGCGGGCGTTACTGGAAGGGGCGTTGCCGCCTAAGAGTCCCAAGCTCTCTTCGTTGATCCTGAGCGATTCCGACTTGGACACTGGTTTTATTGAGGGCCCTACCATCGTATGAAAAGCCCAGGACCTCTAATTAGGGTGGAAGGTGAACGTGTAAGGCCTCAGGCAGAGTTCACGCGATTTAATCGTCGCGATTTATCGCGACAAGAAAACTGTAACAATATCATTGCATATCGATCTTCTTGCATTTCGGTTGTGGTAGTTTTCCAACTCAATAATCGTGACTAACTATCACAACCGAAATACAGGAAGATCGGCAAAAGAACTTGTAACACTTGTCTTGTTGCGATGAATCGCCACGTTAAAATCGCGTGATGTCCGAAGCTTAAAGAGCCGGGCATACTTCACGCGATTTCAGTCGCGACGCGATTTGGCAATTTGCCAGAAGTCCTCAGATCCAACAATAGCAAACTGCGCATGCATAGTGTGTATAACTTACTTAGATTGATAAAACGCTCCATCTTTAGTACATTTAAAATTTGCTTACAATGAATTATGGACACTTGGAATATTGCCAAATCGCGTCGCGACTGAAATCGCGTGAAGTATGCCCGGCCCTTAAGACGCCATCAAAAGAATTTTTCTGAGGTTTTCCCACTCACTATCTAAAGTATTGGCATAGTCAAGTATTATCAGTATCTAAATAATTCAAGTTGCTTACCTTGTACGGAATATGTGTACAATAGCCGAAGCAGAAGTTATATGGACTGCATTCGTTTAACTTGTAGTCCGATATGCATTCAAATGGCAATCATAAGCGTCTTTTCCAGTTTTCCCAATCGATGCACTTTTTGCACGACCTTTACGTGTCCTTGAGCGGCATGAAAGTGTCGAAGAAATTTCTGTCATTGAAGGAAAGTCTCGGAGAAATGCATGATTATTTGAACTCAGTGCATGTGATTGAATCGAAGTCTTTCTATCACTAATGTAGAGGTATGGAAACTAGTGTATGTGCAAAATAGAGAATATATTGGTAACTGATAGGTTAGTAGTTATCTATTGAATGAATTAATTACATCGTAAGGGAGAGAGTTGGCAGCTGACATATTGTCAGCTTAATGCGAACAATTTGGCTGATCTTTTCGCGCAAAAAAGCAAATCAAAAAGTTTCTAGTAATGTTCGCCAACTATTTTTCAACCTCCCCCCCCCCCCTCTTTTTTCCCGCCTCCATTCCTACGGTATCGGAAAGATCTGGGCAGATAGCAGAACTAGTTTTATAAAGTGCATCCAGCAATGAAGCGCTTCAATGTCGATGATGTCCATGGCGATTGACTGTCAAAGGTTGCAAATTCTGTCAAAAATTTGACACTAACCTTAGTTTTTTACCCGGTAATTTACCCTAATGAGAATCAGTATTGGATTCCGAAGGATGATTTGATGTGTTTTAATTGCCAATTCATTTGATATATCCTTGAAAATGTCACATTTTTTATACAGAGGACCACCAAATCAAAACATATCGCATTGCATGCCAGTTATTGCCATCACAACTTTTTTATTCTACATGACTTTTGCTATGCTCATTTTGAACCGGTATTCTTTTACCAGCCTTCGAACACTCGTAGTCACATTTTCTCAACTTTCGTTAATTCTGCCAACTTTTGTGTTTGGACCTTTCATAGTAAAAAATAAACAAACGCCCCTCAAGTGGCTTTGATTTTTTCAATGAAAGTTTTATATTAAGTATTGGAAATCTTTCCTCTACAGCGTTTTTTCAATAGAAAAAAAAACAACTATTTCTAAGTACAGCCCTAAGAGCTGAAGCACTGTTAGCCGTATAATAAAATACCCTAAAATCTCATAGATAAGAGCCGTTTGATTTACCGGTGAAAAATGAATTGGAAAAATTGAAATTGCATGCAGTCACCCCTCTAACTTGATGGATGATAAATAAAAATCGGAGAAGAAGTTTAGAAGAAGCTCCGCCCCTCAACTCTAAACCCCGCCCACTTAATAAACAGTTTATATAGAAAAATAGCGATTTTAACGGAATTTCGGAATTTCTATATGAATTGTTTATTAAGTGGGCGGGGTTTAGAGTTGAGGGCGGAGCTTCTTCTAAACTTCTTCTCCGATTTTTATTTATCCATCCATCAAGTTAGAGGGGTGACTGCATTCAATTTCAATTTTTCCAATTCATTTTTCACCGGTAAATTAAACCGTTCTTATCTATGAGATTTTAGGGTACTTGATAAGTACTAGTCAAAATCTGTAACATCTTCCGAATGGTATTGACCTAAATAATTTGCTTTTTCAGGTTTAAAGTGAAACTCCAGGAACCTAATACCTTTTTGTCCCCTCTGAATTTACATTTCGCATAATCTTTGAGTCGCAATTATAACAGTAAATTCAACGAATTACTCAATAGCGATAATAGTGTAGGAGAGCTTATTTCGAAGTTGTAGAACAAAACTGTCAGCGCAGTTTTCTAAAGTTGTCGGACCAAAAACTCTTCATTACAAATTTATTCACTGCTTCCCAACAGTGTCAAGATGTCAAACACCATCAACGACCAAAACAATCGCATGCACATGTGTTGCTCTAATGTATAGCCATTTTCTTGCATACGTAAGTTCTCAGTCTTGAATCGCAGGGCTCATCTGCCCATCCATGATACCATACTCCAGTGCGGGCGTGGACATCACTGATCAGCTGAAATGAATTATTTCGGATTTATCTTATATATAAAGCTGAATGTCTGCATGTATGTATGTCTGTCTGTCTGTCTGCCTGTCTGTACGTATGTGCGGAATAGAAATTTTTGTTTTTGAACCGATTTGGACCAAACTTGGCACACATATACTTCGGGGTCGGGAGCGTGTCATAGGCTACTTTTCGTTATCGATCGATATCGATTTTATCGATTTTTTGCAAAATTTGAGCTACGGGGCTGGGAGTTGGCACAGGGGGGTAATCGAGCATGCTGATTACAAATATGTTATTGACAGGGCCGGGCGGAGCCGGGTTTGCCAACTAGTTCTGGAATAAAAATGAGATAGTCTATAACTGTCCGGAAAACAATGCATCCTTTTTATTTTAGCGCAGAAGCGCAAATTGAAAACGCGTTGAACGATCATCTGATAGAGAATAGCGAGCTCTACAAGATGGACTCTAATTAATTGCAAAACGTCCGGTCAACGAAAAGGTTTTAAGCAGAGACTAAAAATTTAATTACCCACAATCCTCATCCAAAAAAATTTTGCGGACTTGATTACGCAAATATTGTGAACGTCAGGCATTTCGTAACAGTTGTTTATTTACTCCACTTTCTTCTTTCTTCTTTCTCAACGAAATTACTTATTTGTAAATTTATTAGAAAGAATAAGTCTTTCGCTTTCGAGTATTGTCTTGCCGAGCTCTTACTACACACGAACAGCAGGGATGAAAATGGAAAAGGAAGATCATATATCCTTTGATTCTTTTTAATTAGGTCGCCAAAGATCTGGTGCTAGTCTGGTAGTCCAGTCGATCTGGTGCTAGTCTCGCACTTATGCACACTTGCTCCATTTTTAAGTTGCTAGAATTCAATAAAAATAAGCCGAAACTCGAAATGCTTCAATTTTTTGTGGTTTATTGGATATTTCTTGATGACTAACAAGGAAAGGATACTCATTGTCAGTCACCGTGGCCATTTGAGGTGCTATGTAAAATGCACCTTGAAACGCTGATTCTAAATCTATGCTCGATATCTGCGAAGTGATCTTCTGAACGAAGTTATGAATCTTTCTTAGAAAATTCGCGAACTTTTGGCTGATATTAGGTTGTCCCATAATTATTCACCGTTTTTGCTTCAACGGTCGTCGTTTTGTATTTTTCCTCCAGTCGATGCAACTTGATCAACCATTCGATAGGGCAAAACAAGCTTTACAAGATGATTATCAAGAGTCTGCACAAATAGTAATCCACGTAAAATTATGAGCTGAAATATGATAGCAGTCAAAAACAAATTTTACTGCCAAAAGTCGTATCTCGGCCCAAAAAAAATCTAAAAATTTCTTTTTTAGCCTAGCATGTGTATGACACATCGAATATTCAACCATACAATTTTCGTATTTTTTCCATGGCTAGAAATAAAGAAAAAATTGAATGAAGTAAAATGTCAAACTCCGCCCCTAGAAGTCCTAAGCTCCCCCACACAGGTGATCATACAGCTCATACATACAGGAGTACGATTATGTATTTGAAAATTTTGAAGGTGCCCCAGTTTTCGAGAAATGCTGATGTTCAAGGTAAAAGCGGTAAATAATTATGGGACAATCTAATAGAATGACCGAATTTCGTCTAGTTTGGCATTTGAGGCTATTAAAGAAAATCTTAGGCAGAATGTTGCATATAACTGCCTAATATCCATATCACATATCATACTTATAACTGTCTAAATCATATACCGTAAAATGCATCTTGTTGAAAAGGTAAAAAAAATTTCTATTGAAGATTCTAACCCTCTGCACTAGCGCAATCCATTTGAAAGAAATGACCATGACTCAATCTATTTCATCGTTTCGCAGATATGCAAGACAGTTTTCGAACCAGCATTTAAACGCGCATTTTTTGGTAACAGTTCATTATGAATGGTCAAGGTCACTGAGTATCCTTCCCTTTCAAGTTATATCCAGAGTTGCAATTTGAATAATCTTTTACGGATTTATAATCAAATACGTATGTGCGTGAGTTTAGGATGCGTTTGCCAGTTACAAACCATTGTTTTTCTCAATTTTTAACGAAAAAGAGCAAATGTATATAGTACATGTTTGTACACGTCTAATACACGCTAACTAAGCAGAAAGTACATAACTAGATTTTTCTCACTCGACATCCGCTTTTATGGCTCAGCTTTTAGATTTTGGCTTCAGTCTTCACATGGATCATGATTTATGCAGCTCATTGCCTACCACCTTGTCTCACTATGACTTACGAAGTAGCACCTTCAACACTTTGGAGTTTTTGTTGGAGTTATGATTTTATAACTTTTTAACATCATTACATCACCCCGAAAGCAATTTTTTGAGCAAGCGCCACATTCCAGAAAACAAAGAATGGAAGTCACAAGTTGCAATCGATGCAGGTATGTTTTTCCGAACTGTCACGTCTTCACTGCAATTCAACCAACTCATTTAGGTGAAGGATCACCGTTTCGTCAGTGGCTAATTCCACATATTTTTGAATTCTCATACTCAAAATATTAGGTTGTCCGGAAATTAATGCAGGTTTTGATTTCCAACCGCAATAAGTCATACATTTCTAATTTTTGAATAGGTTGCAAGGTACTGCTCGATAGAGCAATGCAAGCTCTACAAGGTGGCTATCTTGCTTTAGCAACAGCTCTGATCCACCACGAGTTTCGAGCCAAAAACTAAAAAGATTCAAGTGCCCGAAAAATTGAGAAAAATTGTAACTCAGTTTGTAAAAATCTTACAAAAATTCTAACTTGCTCACGTAAACACAATCCACTTAAAGCATCTATATACCCCGTTGCCGTATTTTTTTCTCCGTTAGAAATCAAGAAAACGGAAATTTTCGTGCATTTGCTAAAGTGGCGCTGTGCCCCCATATGTAGTTGTATACTACAAACCTTTAGAAGTACAAACGTAAATTTTCAGCTCTCTACAAGCTTCAGTTGCGAGAAATTTAAATTTTAGCTTGGCATTACTAGGGAAGACTATATTCGATATTTCTCGAGAACTAAAGCTTGTAGAGAGCTGGAAATTTACGTTTGTACTTCTAAAGGTTTGTAGTATACAACTACATATGTGGGGGCAGCATAGAACCACTTTGGCAAATGCACGAAAATTTCTGTTTTTTGATTTCTAACAGAGAAAAAATACGGCAACGGCGTATATAGATGCTTCAAGTGGATTGTGTTTACGTGAGCAAGTTAGAATTTTTTGTAGGATTTTTTACAAACTGAGTTACGATTTTTCTCAATTTTTCGGGCAGTTGAATCTTTTTAGTTTTTGGCTCGAAACTCGTGGTTGATCACAGCTGTTGCTATAGCAAAGTAGCCACCTTGTAGAGCTTGCTTTGCTCTATCGAAAAGTACCTTGCAACCTATTCAAAATTGAGAAATGTATGACTTACTGCGGTTGGAAATCAAAACCTGCATTAATTTCCGGACAACCTAATAGCACACTGATGTTAGATGGAGGCAAATCAGTAGGACTTTCAGGGATTTTACGTAGTTCACAATCGAAATAAATCCTGAAAGTAATGTACATTTCATAGTAAACGGTTAGCTAACGATTGCAACGTCCACAAGTTTTTGAATTTGAAGTAATGCTTGATTGTTGTTGAATTTCGAATACAATAAAGACTTCATTTACTCAAGAAATGTGATTTTCAAGGCATTGGATGAACTGCGACTTGGGTGTCAGGAACGTTTGACAAAGATTTAGTACATATAAATGATTAGCTAGATGGACAGCATGCATTACTCGGTTGCTATATTGCGCGAATGATTTTGAAGCTTAAATCAAAATTTTGACAAGAGTCAGACCTAGAAGGAATTGCGGCAGCCAGTTACTTCGGAATGATTTGAAATGAGACGCATTTGATCTATATATTCCAAAAACACGGATTAAAATTGGAATAGAGAGAACCTTCAAAACTTTTCAAAGCTCTTTCCTTTACAAAAGTCATCTGAGCTGTTACTCTATTACTAAATCATTCGGAAAGTTTTTTCGCTTGCGCCTTCAAGAGTTGCCATATTTTGAAAGAATGTCAAAGGGCTGATAGGGGTTGCCATATATGGACCTGTACAGAAAGCCCTTTACTTCATGGGCATCCCATCAAACTTGCACAAAACGCTTTGTAGGGAAGTTTATGCGACTATCGTCCTTTCCCCACAGTATAGCGGCAGAGCTTTGCCGACGTTTGCCAACGTATGCGCGTGGCAGTTTTTGGCAGCTAGACAGTACAAAAACTAATGCTTTAGAGTGGAGGTTCAACAAGTTTTTCAACGTGTTCAAAGGTCTGCACGGCCACGCCCGCTATACGCATGGGAAACGCCTATACAAATTCGACATGTGAAAACGCGATTTTCGAAGAATTGCGTTCTCTAACAAGCTCTCAGCTTGTAAGAGCTTGTAAGCTCTCAAACTTGTATGCAAGGTAGTTGAAGGAGCCATCATTGCGTGCAATGCACTTGCCAAGGCTACAATTTGAGATTAGTACAAGATTGCTCTAACCCATTTACGACGATGTGGACCACATGTGACCCACACCTGTGGCTCAGATTACTTTAATGTAGATTACGAGGCTTAACCTATCGAATATATACATTCTTATCGCCTTCCCATGCGATTCACGTAGTAGCGCAGACTTAGCATGTTACTGTATCCCAATATTTTCGCAGTATTTTACCAGTATTTTACATTTGCATAGGTAAGGAAAAACGATTGTAAATTGCTCTTGAAGAAACGTTTCCATATGAAATTTCTGCTATGTAAAGAAGAGGGTTAAGCAGTAACAACGATATAAAAAACGCAGCTATTTGATCTGTTTGAAGGTAAGTTGATGGGGTGTGGCGCCACCCCTGAAAAGCTGTGGCAGCCACAGCTTCTTAGGTGTGGTGCCACACCCCATCAACTATATCAAAAAACAATTTTAGCGAACGTAATTTATATGAATCGATAGCCTAGACCTCGTAGATTTCA